ATGATCATATACATAGTGAGGACATACAAACAGTGATTTCAATGTTTAAAGCATTACCATCACCACCACCTTCACCTTTAAATAATTTCTTTAATATATTTTTATTTAAGTGTATTTATATGTATTATTAAAAATATTAATAATAATGAATTTAAAAATTAGTATACTTGTTTATAATAATAATAATAATAATAATAATAATAATAATAAAGTTTTTGTTTGTGGAAAAATCCTAATATTTTTTTTTGCAGAAAAAATCCCAATATTTTAGGTCATTTTGTGAAATAGTCCTAATATTTTAGATTAGTTTATGAAATAGTTCCAAATTAATTTGTTGCCGGTTCCAACTGCTCAAAAGGGGTCAAAATGCATACTTTTGCCGGTTTTTAGGACTTTTTCGTAAACAAAAATTAGTTTAGGACTAAAACGTAAACGGGACCAAAATTTTAGGACTTTATTGGAGATTTCCCTAAATTATCAGTCAAACATTTGTGTGAGATTCTGCATGATTCGAAATAAATGGATGAAATTGTTATACTCTATGAGTATTCATGCGATCAATAATGCTCGATTTTGAGTTGGATGAACGAATTTTGGAGACATGATTTCAAGTTGAATGGAGAGTACTTAGTGTTGGCAACATGTTATTACACCCAAATTGTCCACCTAATCATTTTAGTCATAATTGTGTGTTATAACACTAAAGGTGAAAATAGACAACACCAATATGGGAATGGATAACACCAAATAACATAGGATAATACATTCTATTTTCTATTTTTTTTTGGATGATTTTTAATTTCTATTATTCTAATTTGTTTTATTTTTTTTATTTACTTCATATATTTCTAATTCGTTTTATTTTTTTTATTTATGTCATATATCGATAAAAAAACATATAAATTAATAAAACATAATTTCATTAAATAGTAAATTAAAAATATCATACAAACCAAAAAAACATTGAAAAAAAAACACACGATAGTCCTAATAATAATAATAATAATAAAAAAAAAAACGATAAACTATTCTTCGCCCCAGTATTTGCTCTCGATCTTTGCATTCATCATTCGTATCACTTTAGCTCGTCTCGGTGGTAAATTTGTTTTGTTTGTCGTAAGAAGGAAATCTAAATGTTCTCGTTGCAATTCATATCTTTTATTTGCGATTTCCGTATGGGAGTCGAATTTTTTTTCATTTCGTTGTGCTCTCGAAGCCTGCGCATGTCGTTGCACGTGATTGGCTTTGTCGCACCCTATCGGTCGTCGTGGCGGAGAGATTTCCTCAATGGCATCAAACTCGTCCGGGATCTCATCGGTGTCCGCGTTGAGGTCGATGTTCGTGTGTCCGTCGGAAACGTCAACTGAACCCGAACCACGAGACCTCTTTGATTGTTGTTCGAATGATGTTGGTGTTTTCATTCATTTTGGATCTTTCCTCACTATGTCCCATACTTTTTCATACTCAAATACGTGCCCCGTTTGCATGTGATATTCCTCCCTCGCGGCTCTAAACACATCGAAATCATTGGAACCACTTTGACGTTGCGAAGAAAGTTTGTTGTATATGGAATTGAATTTGGTGCACTTCCGGCTAATTTGAGTCAATTTGCCACTAAGCATATCATTATTGCGGTATGTGTCACCCTTGTTCAAAATTGTGCGGAATTTGACGATTACGACATCCCAAAAAACAACTCTTTTCATATCGTTCCCCGTAGTTGGTTGTTTTGAAGTACCGTACCAAGCCACAGCTAACGCATGCTCTTCCTCCGGTGTCCACCATGTTGAGGTGCTTCCGTTTCGTCCATCCCGACAACGACCTCTTTCCCTTTCTTTTTTGGTCTCCCTTTTTTCCCGCTGCTTTTGACTACCCCCAGCTTGTGTCTCGAGAACGAGTTCTTGCGTGGGTGTGGGTTGTGTGATTGTTTGGCTCATGGGACTGAATGTGTTAAAAAGGTTTTGTTGAATGTTTGCATTTTGTTGCATAAATGGTGAGACGGAGAATTGTAGGGGGGTGAGGCGAGATTGAAAAAATTATCGGAATATGGAATTTGTGGTGAGTTTTGGGAGTTTAGAAGGTTCATATATTCCTCATATCCCGCAAAACCTAATGGAGTGGATGTATTTGTCTTCGGAGGAGGGGTATTCGGGTTTTGATCCATAGTTTTTTTTTTTTTTTTTTTTTTTTTTTTTTTTTTTTTTTTTTTTTTTAATGAAATAGAGATAGATATAGAGAAATAGAGATAGATATAGAGGAATAGAAGTGTAATAAAATGAGATATATGTATTGATATAGTTAAATTAAATTAAGCAATAATTTCTTTTTTCCCATTTCACCGATTAACGATAATATTATTGTTTTTCAACGGAACAAATTGCACAACGGTCACATTTTTTTGGCGTTACGACTCGTTACCACGATAACGCCTAATGACGTAACGCGCTTTAATGAGCACCTGGGGCGGTGTTCCCTGTTATGGCGTCGTTAAAGGCACTTGTCATGTCAGATAACGCCCCTTCCGCGTTGCTCACACTCGGCTCTCTAAGGCTATGCATGAGACATGAGATTTAAAGCAATGACGATTATTTTTTAGAAATTTTAATATTATAGAGTTAACTATAGAATATAGGGTAAAGATGTAGGATCAGATCAATGTAAGAGGTCTTTCAATAGAAGTAGGGATTTAAGAACCCAATAAAAAGGGTTGTTTTTGCTTATATGCTTACGAGATCTTACTAACCGTGATATAAATACTACAAGAAATTAGTTGATTTTCCATATTTTTTTTTATCATACTTACACACTACCACAAGATAAACTAAATATATGGATTTTGTGACGGATAATCTTCCACAAAAGTTGATTACGAATCTCTAATCATATTTTGTGACGGATAACTGAAGTATGTATAATAGTATATAGCTACTTTGTTACAAAATTTACAAAATTACACACTATTGAAGATGGATAATATTAAATATGTCCCTAGAAAAATAATATTAGTTTCAATTAAATTGTATGTCGCTAAAACTAAACATTTACAATTGTTTTTTTCTTTTTTTGTTAATAATTTTTGGATTGAGTTTTAAAAATAATCAAAACACTTTCATCACTGATATATGGCTGATTTTATTAAATTAGCAAAAGATTATCCACACCATGGTATTTGAGTGTATCATTCGTACATTTTTTTTATTATCATATTATTTGTTTGAGAAGTTATTCGTTTTCCGAATTTCATGTGGCGTGTACTATATTTCGTTTAATAATTTCAATTGTTTGGTTGTTTTTTTCTCACGCATGAATTAGGGAATATGACTTATCAAGGTAATTAACTTTTCGGTATGAAACTTTTTGGAAGTGTTCACATATGATCATTATGACCTGCTATAGCAGGTTAGATCCTAGATGTGAACTCTTTCAACAAGTTTGTTACCTAGATGTGTATAAAAAAAAATAGTTACCCAAATATGAACAAAATGAAAATTAAAAATTAAATTACATGAATGGTCCCTGTGGTTTGGGGGAATTTATGCTTTTTGTCCCTAATTTATTTATTTTTAACTTAAATGGTCCCTACTATTTATTTTTGTTGCGCGTTTGGTCCCCGTCTTACCTAAAAATACTATTGTGCCCTTATTAATTTATTTTTTTTAATTAACTTTCTTATCTATGTGTTTATTTTATACATATTTAAAAAAATTAATAGACAACACACATTTGTATCTCCTCGGATGATCTCTACTGTTTATTTTTAATTATTTTTTTTTTTAACTTGGATGATCCTTACTGTTTATTTTTGTTACGCGTTTGGTCTCTGTCTTATCTAAAAATACTATTTTTCCCTTATTAATTTTTTAAATTAATTTTCTTATTTATGTATTTATTTTTTATAAAAAAATTAATATACCCCACATAATGTATCTTATCACCGTAAACCTGAAACCACATTTGAGAAATTTAATTTGAGTCTTACCATTCACCATCTCATCTCTGATCCTCCCCATCTTCTATTTCTTTTCCATCTTTAGTAACATCAACGTCTTCACCGTCCTTTTTTTTTGGTACTTCAACTCTGGAGAACCAACACCATAACCTACTATCTCTTCATATTTAGTGGGTTGTAGTGTTGTTTCGACGGAGTTGAAGGACCGAAAAAAGAAGTGATGATGAAGACGTCGATATCACTAAAGATGAAAAATAAATAGAAGTTGAGAATGATGAAAGATGGGATGGTGAGGAGATACAGATATGTGAGGTCTACTAATTTTTCTTAAACATATAAAGCATAAGTACATAAACAAGAAAATTAATTAAAAAAATTAATAAGGGCACAATAGTCTTTTTAGGTAAGACAGAGACCAAGTTCGTAACAAAATTAAATAGTAGGGACCATCCGAGTTAAAAAATTAAATTAATTAAAAAATAAATAGTAGGGATCATCCGAGGAGATACAAATATATGTGGTATATTAATTTTTATAAATATGTAAAAAATAAACATAGATAAGAAAATTAATTAAAAAAATAAATTAATAAGGGCACAATAGTATTTTTAGGTAATATGGGGACCAAACGCGCAACAAAAATAAACAATAGGAACCATTTAAGTTTAAAAAAATAACTTAGAGACCAAAACCACAAATTCCCCCAAACTACAGGGACCATTCATGTAATTTAATTTTTACTTTTGGTTTTGTTCATATTTGGGTAACTATTTTTTTTGTACACATCTAGGTAACAAACTTATTAAAAGCGTTCACATTTAGGATTTAACCTGCTATAGCAGGTCATAATGATCATATGTGAACACTCCCAAAAAGTTTGTTACCTACATATGTACAAAAAAAAGATAGTTACCCAAATGTGAACATACCGAAAAGTTAATTACTTTGATAAGTCATATTCCCCATGAATTAAGACCACTATTGGAGGGAGGGAGGGTTATGGATTTATCAATCATCCAAGATATTTATTTCAAATTCTTTTTTATTAAACCCAATACTTTCGAACCAAGTCATAATTAATCACAAAACTAATGATCATTAAGTAAAATCCCGACCCTAAATCTCTAACGCATCAATAAGATATAGAAAACAAGGAATAAATATTTCACATACACTGTTTTTATACCACAAGCCAACTAATCTTAATCGTTTACAAAACTAAACCTAGTCTGTTCATCTGTGCTCAACAAAATATTTTTACAAGCCCAACCTAATTCCACCATCTTCTCATTCACCACCTTCATATCTTCTTTTGCACATTTCTTGCACTCATTTGCCATATCAAACCACTCGCAACCTTCTAAAATTTCTTCACCTTTTTCCCTTTTGTATGTTAGCCTCTCACGGATGTAGCAAGCCTTCACCATATAAAAACTCAAAACCATCAAAACAAAACACGTAAATAGTTAAACACCAATCCGTGTTTCCTACACATGACAGAACAAATTGTACTGTGTTTGAATTTTGATATCGCATTTGACTAGGACTAAGACTGATATCAATACGACAAAAATTGCAAACTTTTTCCCACAACCAAAAAGGTGGGACAGGGACTCACTCTCGATCTCTTGTGTGTGAAAAGACGTGAATGCCCTCCTCATCCTCATCATCGAAAATAGCCCTAGAAGCTTGTCTAGTCTTGTCCAGTCCAGTCACGTGTAACAAACGAAGCCTTTGTTCGATGGGAATGAATTATATTGGACCAGACAAGTTTTTTAGGGCTATGTTCGATGATGAGGATGAGAAGGGCATTCACGTCTTTTTCACAAACAAGAGATCGAGAGCGAGTCCTTGTCCCACCTTTATGGTTGTGGGGCAAAGTTTGCAATTTTTGTCGTATTGACATCAGTCTTAGCCCTAGTTAAGTGCGATATCAAAATTAAAACACATTACAATTTGTTTTGTCATGTCATGTGTAACAAACTTACGCATGCGGCCTAAGTGTTGTTTTTTTTTTTTTTTTGGAAATTTAAAGAAAATTTTGAACCTGTAAGAGACCCGTGATGATATCTGAAGTACTTGATCCTTCACGTAAACAAATAAGGATACCCTACAATTTGGTAAAGTTTATAAGATCTTTGAAATTGTGACACATAGAAAGAGCAAAAAAGAACTCGACACTCACTTCAGTTCTTTGAAACCCATGGAAGGAGATCTCCATGCATACAAAGTAGAAATCATCTTTACTTAAAGATCGCATAGCCATCATTGATATTTGTGGTATTTGGCATTTGGGGTTCAAGCAACCGATCCTTATTGGCAATTTTAATCTCCCTAAAACAATAAATAAAGGTATGATGATAATGATATAACAAACAAAAATTAATGAAAGTACATCGATATTTCTCACATTTAACCCTAAATTCTAAACAAAGTCCACATTATTGAGAATGAAGATCTAACCTTTGCTTGAGAAGAAATTCATTCCTTCCTTTTTACTTACTTCTGCTGGTGAAGGGATATATCCAAATTGAATCCATGTATCCATGATTATCTCTAACCTATCCTAAACATCGAACTTATAACAAAAGTGAGATACTAGACACACTTATGAGGAGGGCATTCACGTCTTTTGTCTATAAATGTCTAACCTTGGTTAATGTTTGCAAATGGACATGGTTTAAACTTTGATATATCCCATAAAGATCAATGGCTGTGAAAATTGGGTATACAACAAAAGGTAAACCTGCTTGCAATCTTTTGCAAAATTGAAGAGTTAGATAATGTCAAAACATGATAAAGACAAGTTCCCATGAATCTAGTAATCATTCATCATGAAGGGTATAAATCTTTTTTCAAAAAAAACAAACCTTTGGTTGTTCTTTAACATAATATTTAGGGCAGCAGCTAACATAAGACCAAGGTTGTCAAAGCAGACTTGTTGAATCTAAAACAAGCAAAATAATAATAATCATTAATCCCATCAAAGATTACATAAACCTTAAAAAAAGGAAAACATGAACAAAACCTGTGCTTTTGCAGAAACTTCACCGAGGTTATCTGCTACTGCAAAGCTTCTATGGACAGCTGTCTGAAAATTTATAAAGTGTAGAAAACTTCTGTGAGAGTATGATTAGAAGAATGGACTTGTTTAAGGATGAAAAGTTTGGAAAAATACATTAAAAAGAAAAAAAGATTTGACTTACACCAGTTGCTAGGTAACATGCGAGGCTTATTTGCTTAGCAATGTTGGCGATTGATGCAAGAAGCAAAAAGTATTGTGGAAAAGCAGGAGTCATCAACTCAACACCAATGCTCAAACTGAAAACAACCGATGTCAAGAACCTAACTCTCTTCAATTAAAACAAAAGAAAAAAAAAATTCATTCAGTACACTTGATATCATATACCAAAGCAAACGTATAGCAAACAAAATCTTGATTGATAGTTAGGCCTCCTAGGATTGAGACTGATGTCAATGAGACAAAATTGCAGCTTTTTGTCCTGTCCAAAAAGTTGGAACAAGGTGGGACCGGACTTGCTCTTTATCTCTCGTTTGTGCAAAAGACATAAATACCCTCCTCACCGTCATATTGAAAATAGCCCTAGAAAATTTCTCCAATCGAGTTCCGTTCTGGTATTACAAATGCAGCCGAAGGCTGCATTTGTTATCGGGGAATTGAATGGACTGGACAAGCTTTTTAGGGCTATTTTTTATGATGAAGATGAGAAGGGTATTTATGTCTTTTGTACATACGAGAAATAGACAGCTAGTCCATGTCCCATCTTGTTCCCCTTTTTGGATAGGACAAAAAGTTGCAATTTTTGTCTTATTGACATACAATCTGTTAAATCATGTCATGTTTGTATAACAAAAAGGGTGTTATGGAACTGTAAATACCTTCAGATTTGTATCAAATGCAGAAGCGAGACTAGCAGTGTAGATGCACCTACTTAACCTTCCAAGCCCATCTTTCAAAACCCAATTCAGAGCTGCTGCAGATGGAAGTGAACGGGCATATCCAATTCCAATTGCCCTGAACATTGCCTAAAAGACGGAATAGTCAATTCCATTCCGACCAGCGAAATATATTCATCCAAAAGATTATGTAAAAAAATGGTGTGTATTGCCTAAATGGAGAATAGGATACCTGCGTAGCAAGAACTTGAAGAGCAGAACTGAAGACTCTGTGCAAGAATTTCCATTTCACATATTCCAAATAATTTTCATTAATTTCTCTGGGAAGCAAGAAATTTCTGACACCCAAACTGCAACTTCGCAAAAACCTTCGACATCCATCAACTAAATCATCAAAATTATCGAAACAAAATGGCTTCCCGTCGATAGAAACCAATTTTAAATCATTACCATCCCAAAAGTATCGGGAAACACCGTCAGACTGTCGAATAATGACCGGAAGTAGCGTGGATGTTGTGGGTTCAAGTTCTTTTTTCAATTTCTCCTCTTCGAATTCGAAGTGGAATGAAGTCTTCAACGAATTTGGTAGCTCTAAGGTTCTTCTAAAACAGAGGTTTTGCTTAATCGGAAGAAAGAACTGAGTTTTCGTTTGTCTTTCCCATCGCGAGCTCAAATTGAAAGTAGGATTTGAAGTAGAAATCCGTAAGGCGGATTGCATGAGAATGAAGGAAGACTTTCAGCCTGTGGACTTCGTTGAGCTTATTTGTGTCCTAGGGTTTAAGGCGGAAATTCATAAATGGTTTTATTGGGTTATGAGAAATTTATGCGTGGAAATCTCCAGAAAAGTGCTAAAATTTTAGTTCAATTTATGAAAAAGTTTCAAATTAATTTTTGTTTACAGAAAAGCACAGAATACCGGCTAAAACTTCGAAAAAACCCTTTTTGGTCGGTTTCGTAGATTTAGCCGGTATTCTGTCCTTTTTCGTTAGTTTGCTCAAAATATTAGGATTTTTTGAAAATTACCCGATAACCAAAAATATTGGGACTTTTTTGAAAATTACTATGGAATTAATGGATATTATTATTAACAAATCATTTATAAACATAAAAAATATTTTTTTATTATAAACAAAGGAAATACATTTGTTGTTAATTTCTAGAAATAGAATGGTCGACTATGTACTTCTCAATTGTTTGTTGACCACTTCAAAGTCTCTATGTTCTTCATATGTATCGTTGTGGGTGTCATAGTGAGAAGTACTCTATTAGGCGTGACCAATACAAGAGTTGATAATATTTATTAATACACAATCAATAAGTGTCTACTTGCTATTAAGCATGATGCTATATGATCATGTGTTATTAGAAAGTATCATTACACGAACATATAGATCTTTCATTATGTTCTTTAACCTAACTACCACCTAACCTCCAAACATTACCCGGTAACAACCATAAAATTACACACATCTATCGAGAGTGAAAAGTAAACTTTGAATGACAATTTAAATAGATAATCACCCTTCACTTGTTTCCATATAAATTATCATTCAGGGTTCACTTTTCACATTTTATAGATGTGTGTTAGCCGATGATTGTTAACATGTAAGCTATGAATGTTGGTTGGTAGTTAGGTTAAACAACATAAGAAGAACACCAGCATTAGAGGAATGCTAACTAACTTCATCTCACCATCATACCCACAACAATGCATAGGAAGAACGTAGAGAGTTAGGAAACAATAGAGGAGTACTTAGGCCACCAATATTTTGGTTATTATGTAATTTATAAAAGATTTGTTAATAATAATATCCATTAATTTCATGGTAATTTTCAAAAAAGTCCAAATATTTTGGTTATTATGTAATTTTTGGAAAAGTCCCAAAATTTTGAGCAAACCAACGAAAAAGTACAGAATACCGGCCGAAAAGGGTTTTTTCGAAGTTTTAACCGGTATTCTATGCTTTTCTGTAAATAAAATTTATTTTGGGACTTTTTCATAAATTGGATTAAAATTTTGAGACTTTTCTAGAGATTTCCCATTTATGCGCGAGTAGTTTTTATTTATTTATTTATTTATTTTATTTGAGAGGAAAAGATTACATCATTTAGTCCTTAAAAGCCCCCATATTTACATAAAAAAACCGGTTATGCCCAAAAATGATTTTTTTTTGCCACAAATGTCTAACATTCGCCCCTCATGTTTGATTTAATGTTTTTTACCGGTTCCCCTTAACCAACCGGTTACATCCACCCTTTTAACCCCCAAACATACTCGTTTTCTGTTAACATCGATCCAAAGTCTTTCCCTCCACTGTTTTCTATTCTCTATCCCGTCTTCTACCCTAAGTATCAGTAAAATGTCAACTTCGTCTGCCAAAGCAAGCTTCCAAGGTGGCCCAACATTGAGAAAGAAAAGAGTAGTTAGATGTGGCTGTGGAGATGTGTGCAAGGTATCTGTTGCTCGAACACCTGAGAACTATGGAAAGAAGTTTTACGGGTGCCCTAATTACAAGGTAAACAATTTTCCCTAATTTGTAAATTTCTTGATAAGCCTTGAAATGGTACAATGAAGAAACCTTGAAACAATTTGCCATAATTTGTATGTAATTAATACAAAATATTGTTTTTTCTAGGTGGAAAAGAGGACTGTGGTTTTTTCAAATGGTACAATGAAGAAGATAGACACATTATCGACCTAACTCACACAATGCAGATGCAGGGGCAGGGGCAAGGGCATGGACAGTTGAAGACTTTGGTAGAAATAATTGTAGTTCTTTTGGTTCTTATTTTTGTAATGGTGACAATAGTTGTTTTGAAGATGTAAATCATTTTGGATTGGCTTTTGGTAGAATGTTTGGGTCGACTTGGCTTTTGGTAGAATGTTTGGATTGATTTTAGTTGTAAATGGAAGTACAATGCTGAAGTTGGCTAGTAACTGGTTGTTTTGGAATGGTAGAATGTTGTGAAATGGTAAAGTACAATTATGAAATGGTACAATGTTGTTTTGGATGAAGATTTTAGATAGAAATTATTTGTGAAATGCAAATGGTAAACTACAATTATGAAATGGTACAATGTTGTGAAATGGTAAAGTATAATGAAATGGTACAATGCTGTGAAATGGTATAATGTTGTGAAATGGTAAAATACAAATTATCTGTGAAATGTAAATGGTAAACATAACAAACATATGGTTCATAATATACATTAAATTGCTAAATGGTAAAGTACAATGCTGAAATTGGTTAACTGTAGTTACAAATGGTACATAATATAGATGCCAATGGTATGAATAAAAAAACATAGTATAAAATAACAAATATATTATAACCATAATGAGGGGATTCATTACATCATATTCATGTACCAATACAAAAGATTACAAAAGATCAACTAACATGTACCATCCATCCATTTGTACCAAATTGCCAAAAATATATCACAAAAAGGCAACCCAAAAGGTACATGAGAACAACTGGATGAAAGGTGCACTTAGTGGGTGTATAAACTAAGATGTACAAAATGTACCAAAAAGGGCTTCTTGTGCAAATGCCCAAGTATACCATTCCCACCTAAATCCCCCATATACATAACTAACTACTCCAAATTCACTGGATTTGAACATGTGGAACCACCCCCATCTTTATCAAAAACTACATTTTTAAGCTTTACTTTAGTGATCCTCTCTGATGGCTTTCTTTTCCTTGTCTTAGGCACTATCAGATGACCTTCATCATCAGCTACATTCCCATCATCAACAACCTCATTATTTAGGACATTACCAGCAACCTCATTCCCATGATTAACACCTTCACATTCGATCACATCACCATCATCTTGATTTTCAACACCTTCAACTTCAATCACATCACCATCATTTACAAAGTCAGCTTCACCTTCACCTTCAATCACACCATCATCATTTAGAACATCATTTACAAAGTCAGCTTCACCTTCATCAACATCAGGCTCATCCTCATTTAAGTCCTGATGCAAGAAATAACTAGGTTAATAAATAACATATATTTAAAATTACAAGGTTAATAAATTACCATCTCAACTGGTGGAGTGTCATCAAGTTCAATTTCCAACCACCCCATGCTTTCAATTTCAGCCATGGAATATCCTGCTTCAAGTAAATTTGCTATTTCTTCAACACTTATCTTGATTTTATCTAGGAGACCATCTGATGCATGTCCTTCAGTGAATTCAGGTTTTGCACCACCTTCATTCACCAATGGAACATCAGATGCATTTGATGCATTTCCAGAACCAAGAATTTGATCAATTGCATCTCCAACTTCATCAAGACTTTGTTTTAGATCTTGGGCAACCTTTACTGGAACATAAACTGCTTCTTCTTCTAGCACCATAACTACTTCTTCTATCACCATAATGTCATCTTCCTCTTCTATCACCTCATTCACCAAAGGAACATCATTAACAGTAGGAAGTTGAGCAACATTATTTGGAATATCATTAACAACTGGAACTTGGTTATTGATCAAATGAACTTCATTAAAAATTGGCTCTAGCACCTTCACGGACACCTCAGTTTCTTCCTCTTCTATCATCTCATTCACCAAAGGAACATCATTAAGAGCAGGAGCTTGAGCAACCTCATTTGGAACCTGGTTGTTGACTTCATCCTTAAATTTGGTTGTTGACTTCCTATTTGGCCTTCTTACATCCAATTTCTTCCTTTTAACATCTGGGACAATTACTTCACTTGAACGAGTACCCACAGATGCAATGTCACCAACTTTGAAACTTGGGCCTCTGAAACCTAATTTCCTCATTTTCTTGCCAATGTTAGAACTTGAAGCATGCAGACTGCCCTGTTGACTTGCTTGTTGACTAGGTTGAGTGGTTACAGTTGATGTCACAAGTGGTTGACTGCCCTGTTGACTAGATTGAGTGGGTACAGAAACATGTGGATTAGATCCAGCTACAACACATTTCCTAGGCCTCCCAATCTTCTTTGGTGGCATAGGAACTGGTACCTTTTTTCATTCTTGCAGCCTTTTTTTGTTATGCCCATACTCAAGACAATTAGCACATCTTACTGTCCTTAGGGGTTTCACCCTTGAAGTGGAACTAAACTTACTCTCTTTCTCACTTGCATGCCTCCTTCTTTTGGTTCTGGGCCTACCAGGCATTTTCCTACCAACAGGTGGCAAAGGCTTGTTGTATCCAGTTAGAGGCCACATATTACTCCCATTCACAGGACTGATGTTTGTTGAGTAGCATTCCTTGAATTTATTCACTAAAAAGTAGTCACTAATATATCCATCTAGAGTTTGATGGATATAATTAATGGCTACTATGGCATGGACACAAGGGATTCCAGACAAATCCCATAATCTGTAAGAACAAACCCTACCATCCAAATCTACCTTGTAACTGGCACATGCTCTTCTCACTTTAAATACATTTCCTAAGCTATGCACTACTAACCAAAGCCTGCATGAAGACAAAAGAGTATGTATTAGTCATTATATGTCAACTATAATGACAGTTAGAAAAAGAAACAATTATTTTGTGTCTTACCTAAAGTTCTTTCCAAAAGGATTCATCTTCTTAATCACCTCTGGACATATATTACCTTTCCATTTACTGTATTTGTAACAACGTAAAATTTTCAAAACAATTTTTCGTTTTTAAATCATACTTTCAATCACATGATATTCTCAAAACATAACGTATCACAGTGTC